TAAATTTAGTCATCCCATATTGTATATATGTTTCAAAGCCTCATGCTCTGAATTGAAATACAAGTTCATCTTTTAACTAAGGAAAATGCAGATAGTCAAATGGCTGACTCTCATCGTTTACAAATAGATGTCTGTAATATATGAATATTACCTCACAGTCTATGAATATAAACCTCACATAGTCTGACACAAAGAAAAAATGAAATATCTTTGCAGTGTCAGAGTACCTTTAGGATACCTTTGTGTTTTTCTTTCAATTATATCCTTACCTCATTTGTGTACCTGACCATACAAATTCTCTTTGATATTATGCTTTTTAAATTAAACTTAAACTTAAGTTTAAGTTGTGAAATTACCATGTTAATTTCACTTCAACGATTAAAGCGATACCTCAAGAGTATGTCAGTTGACAAGTAACAGTTATACATATTTATGGAGAACAATGTGATACTTGTACTGTGAATTTATATGCTATAGGAAGACCCAGTCAAGTGGTAAATACATCTATCTTATCATAAACTTGCTTTATTTTATTTTGTAGTAAGTTTGTGAAACATATCTTTCTAGGAATTTGGAGTTACAGGACTGTATAGCTAACTCTAGTCAACATATAGCATGATAGGTTCAGAAACCTTGCTCTTCTACTGTTAACTGGAATGCCGGGCCTCCATATCACATCTTATATTCACTCACACCATCTGCCATTCTCTGTTTCTGTGAGATGATGCACCATTTGTCCTTCTGTCCATGCTTTGTTTAACTGATCACGGTATTCTCTAGTTATCATGATCAATTTTTTATTATAAATGAGCTTTCCTTTTCTGAAGGCTGTACACAGGCATTCCATTTTCTTTATCCATTTTTCTGTTGGGCAACATGAATGACATAGGAACCTGTCACATCTTTACTACTGTGAAGAGTGATGACGTAAGGAAGCATCTCTGGGGAGATTCGTGTTTGACACACTCAATTCAATTATTTGGGAAATATACACACACATACATACACCTAAACATGTAAATACAACCTTCTCAGTCTTTATAATATTTGGGAAATAAATATACACACACATACATATGCCTAAACATATAAATACAACCTTCTCGGTCTTTATAATGCTATTTTTATGTATGTATTCAGGGCTGACCATTTGGTATTGGTGAACAATTAGTGTGCTTATCCCTGAGGAAGACTATTTCTTCTGCTCTCAGCATTCCTTAGAAGAAGCAAGAAATCATGAAATTTGCAGGTAAAAGGGTGGAAATAGAAAAGATCATATTGAATGAGATACCCCAAACATAGAAAGATAGATTATGTCCTCTGTCCTCTGATGCTCCCAGCTCCAAATCTTCACATGTGAGTACATGTAGCAAAGAAACCAGGAAAGTAGAAGGTGACCATTGCAGGGATGGGTTGGAATGGGGAGAAACAATGAGGGAAGAGCAGGGTACAAGTGCTCTGATGGGGAACCTGGAGAAGCAGAAGGGGTTGCTAATTAAGTAGGAGGACAGAGAGGAATACATAAGAAGAAGGGGAAAGGTTAAAACAAGAGGTAAGGATCTGAAAGTCATAGGGATCAAACTCTTAGCTACTCATCAGTCATCGTTTTAGATGTGTCTGCTTAGACGCTAACCAATTTTCATCAGGTCTTTTCTTGTATTGAGCTGTTGTATGAGTATCTCATGAATTTTAAATATAGCTCCCATCAGACACATGGTTCTACACAAACATCAAACATTTCTACAAAGACTAAGTGCTGGGTTTATTTCTATCTCTGGATTCCACTGTTGTGAGGAATTCTTTTCATGGTGAAGCCACCCTGGCCATTTATACTTCTGATGCTGTGTGTTTTTGATGTCTTATCTAAGACATCAGTTCCTGAACCAGTGCTGTGAAGCATTTCATTTTTTCTTTACTACTTTTATATTATCAGATCTCATATTTCAATTTTTATATACATTTGAAATTATTTTTAATACTGTATGGATTAAGTTTCCCCAGCAGCCCTTATTGAAAAGACTAATTTTTGGAGCACATATTGAAATAAGAGTGTGGTCTTCATTTCCTGGTCATCACCAAACTAAAAGTAAACATCTACCTTTGTCATTTCCTTTCATTCTTTCCTTAATACTTACTATAATTTCCTAGAATTATGCTCTAATTGACACTGGAATTTCATTGCAGATGATCTGACAATTATTTTTGAAAGCAATGGCACTATTACTTTACTGAATGCTCCCAAAATTAAATAAGTAAAATTTTTGTTGGGTATTTCTTATGATTCTCCAATTTATTGATCATTACATAATTGCTCATTAATTTAATAAGTATTTAAAATTTTCTATTTTCATAGCTTAGTATTTCTTTTCTTGGATTATATGTAAAATTAGAGGGAATAGCAGTTTGCTTTTGTTGACAACCTACTTTTGGTTGTCATAAATTTTGTGTTGGGTATGGTCCAACTGGGAGCATCTCCTTTGACACCTATTTATTTCATTATTTTGTATTGTCAAATAAATGAAATGTGTAATCATCTACTATGGGTGAAGGGAAATTAACTTCTATAACCCTTGAAACTATAACATTAACAAACACATATATCTTCAATTTATGTTTATTAACTACTTATGATTAATCACTGCATTGGGAATGATACAACATGACGATACCATTTACTTCCCAATTCATTAATTTAGTTTATTTGACAAATACTGAGTAAAAACAACTGTGAGCCTAATCTATGTGTCACTATCAGACTGTGATTTCATGTCATAAGTATAAAATAACCACAGATGCTTATTCAGCAAATGTTTATGTGAGATGCAAACTCCTCCTTGTGCTTGTTATGTCTCTGCAGTCCCAGAAGCCAGGAGGAGGGTAGTGAGGAGCTTCTGTGTTGGTTTACAATGTGGTGTACATTTTCCTACATTCAGACTTCAATCCAGACTTCTCATCATATGTAAAAATAAAATGACTCTTATATTTTTGGTTGTGAGCCTAGCCTTTAGCAGCTGAGCCATCTAATCAAAAATAAATAAATATGGCTGAGAGAGAATGAAAAGAAAAAACTGCAGAAAATGTAAGATTTGAAACCCAGAAACTATTTGCATTTTGACCTTGAGTCCAAAATTTTACCCATTAAATAAATTTAATGTAGAAGTGCATGAGGTAAGATTTTTAAAGTATGTTTTTTGATATTTTTTATACTTTAATTACTACTCATATTTACATATCCATCCCCCCATTCCCTTGCCCTCCCATCCTCCCATGTTCCCCCCCAACCCATCCACAAACTTATCCCCAGGGATAGTGAGGCCCTCCACCAGGGACCTTCAAAGTCTGGCATATCATTTGGGGAAGGACCTGGGCCCTCCTTGCTGTATCTGGGCTGCAATAATAACTCTCCATAGGGAATGTCCTCCCAAAGTCCTTTTGTGCTTGAGGGTTAAAGACTGGCTCCACTGTTAGAGGTCCCATAGACTGTCTTGGCCTCCTAGCTGCCACCCACATTCAGAGGGCTCCGTTTGGTCCAATACTGTTTCCACAGATTTATGACTAGGGTCTCCATGCTCTCACTAGGTCAGGTCAACTGTTCCTGCGGGTGTCTGTGGTACCATCTTGGCTTCTTTGTCATCCCTCCTCCCTCTTCACAATTGAATTCCAGGGTATTCAGTGCTTAGCTGTGGGTGCCTGTTTCTGCTTCAAACAGCTACTGGATGAAGGCTCTAGGAATGGTAACCAAGGTAGACACCAATCTCATTAAAGGGGAAGGGAATCAATGGCATGTTCTCCACCACTGCTTGGATTCTTAGTTGGGGTCATCCCTGTGGATCCCCTAACATTTCCTCTGTGCCAGACCTCTCCCCAAACCTGTACTGTCTCCCTCTATCAAGGCATCTCTTTTCTTGCCCTCCCCTTTTCCTCTCCTCTCTCAGGCCTTTTGTTCATCCCCCCTTCCCTTCCTACTTATTTCTTCTCCACCCATGCCCTGTGATCCCACTTTTTTCAGGGAGTCTCATCCCCCTCCCTTTCTTTGAGGTACTATGCAATCTTCTCTTGGGGTCTTCCTTGTTTCCTAGCTCCTCTGACAGTGTGGCTTCTAGACTGGTAATCTTTTGCTTCATGGCTAAAAATCATATATGAGTGAGTGATACCATGTTTATCTTTTTGTCACAGGGCTACCTCACTCAGGATGGTTTCTTCTACTTCCATCCATTTGCCTGAGAATTTCAAGATTCCTTTGTTTTTTTTTTCTTTTCTGCTGAGTAGTACTCCATTGTGTAAATGTACCACATTTTCTCTATCCATTCTTCAGTCGAGGGGCATCTAGGTTGCTTATTAGACTTTTAAAACGATTACTAAGAATCTTTTGATACTGCTTGAGAATATTGGCTCAGAAACACCATGAGAATTTTTTCTATGAGTATTGGTACAGGCTAGATTGAGCTTGTTATGTCATATCTGATGCAATATATAATATAAAATATAAGCCACCTACTGGGGAGCATTCTTAGAAACCACTGTGAGGCAGTGGCAGAAAGAATAGTGAAAAATAACACCAAGTGAGACACTGCCGATCAATTTTTCTTTGAAATCTTGGACTGGGTGTTAGAAAGCATTTCAAAACTGCTCCACTGAGAGATGGCTTGCTTACATTCAGGACCTACACTTTATGTGAATGCTGTTTGTGGCATATTTTTAATTTGTCTGACTAGTTTCATGAACAGGAATGCTTCTAAGTGTCTCTGTGTGGCACTTTAGAGTAGGTGAAAAGATATGAACAAGACCCCAACAGCCTAATTTGCAGGATATAATATATCTGTTTCCTTCACTCCTGTGGGAAACAGAAATACATACTCTTTGAAACCATTTCATGAAACTAAACCGATTTGATATTTCTTTCCTCTTAAGAGAAAATACCATAACAAATCACTCTGTTTTGGTGTGGTGCCCCTTGTGGAATGTGTTTGAGACATCCTGTTAATTATGTGCAGGTGACATGAAGTTCTGCTTAATGTAGAGGCTTTATTAAAATACGGCAAAGAGAATCCAGAACAACGCACATAGTAGACAAGCGCTTTCCTGCGGAGCCCTGTATTGAAGCCCTGCTACTATTTCTGGCTCTGCAATCATTTGAAGCGGATATTAACAGGTATTTGTAAATAAGCCGACTTTCATTTTTCAAACTTGTACAATTTTATTGCTGCAGCAAAAATGCAGGAAGATTTGGGCCTTGCTAGAAAAATATCCCCTTTGTATATGCAGGGCACCTACCAGCTTTCTTGATTCTTGCCAAATCAAAACATTTCAAAATTCTCTTTACATTTTCATCCTCTGTTGTTAGTGAGAGAAAGGAAATCCAGCCTGTCTATCTATTCCTTCTGAGATATGAAAAGTGGCCAAGTTTGGCAAGAAAAGCTTCTCAGCAGGCATTTGTGAATTGCTGGTGAAACTTTAAATAACAGTATTTTATACCTTGGCTCACTGCTTCGGTATTTATAAAAATGAAATGGGGTCTTAAGCTTGGTGAACAAAGCCATAGTTACCTCTTCTGCTTTTGCCTCAGAGTCATTTCTAGGGGAAAAAATCCAGCCTGCCACCATCTGTGGTTCCTTAGCAATATGTAAAAGACGAGTCTGATTATTAACCGAGCAAGCAAGGGTAAGCTGCTTCTCAGAGATTTCAACTCTAACAAGCCCCGATTATGCTGCATGGCTTTCTTATCTTTCCCTGAATTATTCAAACGTTTCATAGTATCAGCTTTTCTCTTCCACAAAAAAAACACAGTGGTGGACTCAGTGTAGCTCAGGTCATACTACAATGGAATTGCACGGTTCTTATGCACAGGCTTCTTCTTCACTGCCCAATTAATTTACTGTTGAACACATCAAACCAGGAAGAAAACAAACACATCCACACAGCGAAATTGATAATGGGTGGCAGTAATTCATCTTCCAGTTATTAAGATTGTAAAACACAGATGGATGTATGGGATTCATTCTTCGGAAACACATTTGCCCTATACTGTTGCTATAACTATGGCTTTCAGTAAACACATACAGAAGTTTTCATTTTTTATTATTTTTTAAATTTAGTTGAAAGATTGCAGACTTATAAATGATTCTTCCATCTCTGTCTTGTTCCATGTGGTGCTTTCCAAGATTGGCTACTTTAAATAAGGGCCATCCCTTGGTCATAAGGTTGTCACTAATGTGAGTTACATCTGAATCTCTCAATCACAAAGATGTAGACATTTCTGGGGGTTGGCTAGGAACATGTCATAGATAGCAGTGATGCAGCTAAAACACGTGTCTATCACACCAGGATGAATGTGTGCTGTCTGTTCCCAAATTGGTTTACCAACTGCCTGAGAACACTAACCTAGGGACAACTCTGTTGCCTAAAGTTAATGACAGGTAATGGGAATAATACCTTGGCTACCAAAGGCTGACAATAGTTTTTATTGTCTTCAAATCTAAAAGCTTATGGGATCTGCATAGGCTCAGAGAAAGCTGGTAGTTGGACCAGGTTCTCACAAAGGCTGATAATGATTCACCCAAAACTCAACCCTTTCACCAGCATTCAGGACACTGCTGTCACAGAGGCCCAGACTTATACCTGTGAGCTCTGGCCTAAACATTGAAGTCTAGTTTGAATTTCTTATAAACCATTTCCAATATTATAATACTGTATTGAAAACTATATTTTAAAAAGTCATTATTGGTTTGCAGCCACATGTGTTTCACCATTATCTGCTGAACATTTTCTCTTCAGGGCTTAAAAAACTATGAGTGCATTTCTTCAAATAAAACCTACCTACTTTGAATATAAGTGTAGCTTACCCTATGATCATATTAACTAGTAAAACCAAATACACACACACACACACACACACACACACACACACACACAGAGCTTTTGTTTGCTTTCATAACAAATTGTTTCAAACATCTCCTACATTATGGGCTTCATTTTGTCATAAATAAAAAATCACAGTGATCTCATTAGCCATATGAACTAATTTACTAGTACCTAGTAACTTTGGCACAGAAATTCAAATTTAGCATGGTAGGGTACTAGATTATTTCCCATATGCAGAAAGATTGGCATCCATATTTGATGTTTATTTTTCCACTTGAGAGCGAATAAGATTTCAGGAAATCTGTAGAGATATATTATTTAAAGCCAGGTCATTTCTCAACACAAGCACATATGTATCAAATTGCACAGCAGTTAAAATACATTACAATTACTTTAGTCAAATACCATTAAGCTTTCATTAATCTAAAGATCTATGATCAAACCACAATGCCCTTGGCAGAAGACAGAGTGAAATAGGTCCTTGGGTTCTTGATAAGCTTGGTTGCCCTCCATGAGTGCTGAGAAATGGAAGAGTATTGAGTTCTGGGGGGAAATCATTGACAAGGTTATCATTTATAACTTGGCCTGAATCAAGGAAAGGGATTTCTTTATTGACAATCAAACCTTTGCTTTGTTAATGCTGGGTTATTGGCATCCCATTCTCAGGTATATCTTTATAAGAATTAAAAAAATCTTGAAATATTAGCATACCCATACTCATTGAAACATTATTTACAGTAGTCAAGTAGTGGAGTCAATCCATACATCTACAGATATTGGGATTCTTGGATGATATTGTTGTGTTTTTAATTTCCTGAAGAATCTCTCCTACTGTTTTCTAATAGTTATATTACTTTATAATATTATTAACTGTGCTTGAGTAATTTATTTTGCCTACATTACAAGCTACGCTTGCCATTTTTAATTTGCTGAACAAAGCCTTTCTAACAGGGGTGTAAATGATTTTGTCCCACATTTTCTATTTCATAAGTAGTTTCTCCAACATTTTTATACCACTCTTTAGCAATCAGCTACATTTGTTATGTATTCCCCCTTAGGTTCTATTTCTCCACTCTGTGTTCAATCCTGCTCAAAAGCATTCAGGACTGTATTCCTCAGAACACTATTCCAGTCTGGGTAATGTGAGGTTTGCTTTTTGATGTTTGGAAATTAAATCAGGAAATTAAAATGACTCAACGTGAATGAGGTTTGTTCCTGTGGTGAGAAGAAATTGTTATAAATATAAAAATCTCTTCCATGAAATAAAAAGAGAGTAAATCGTTGAGAACCAGTACTTAGAAGTAATTGTGTTTAATCAACATGTGAAACATCTTAAACATATTGTAGCTGAATTTATTAAGAGAAGACAGCCAGTTGCATGTATATTTGACAAATGTGAGGATATGAGTAACACTCCATTTGATATTAATGTCACATTGTCTTTATACATTAGAGTATTATTCAGACAGTAAGAAGAATGAAATTGCCATCAAAAAGATGGTTCTGTTAAGAGCAGGCACTATTTCTCTGAGAGCACTTGACTCTGATCCTCAGCAACCATGTCTGGTAGCTTACAACGGTCTATAACTAGCTACAGAGGGACCCCACCACCATCGCTTCTGCAGGCACCTGTGTTCAACTGCACATACTTCCCCACATATGCACAACCTAAAATGGGAGTAAATAAAAAAGAATGAAATCATGGCACTTGCAGGAAAATAGAATTGATGCTCATATGTTAAGTGAAATAAGCCAGACCCCCAAAATGCAATTATTTTATACTTTTTTCTTATGCAAGAATAAACAGCATTAGATGGGAAGAAGACCAGTGTGAGGGAAGAGTTAAATAAGTGTGGTTAAAATGGGCAAATACAATGAAATATCTTCTGTACATATACATACATACATAAACATATATGTATACATACATACATATATGAAAATGGAACACGAAATCCATTGTTTCATAAAATGCATATAAACCAAAAGGGTGCAGTAGTTAAAACATGGAGATTTGAGAGTTATCAAATAATGGTTCACAGAGGAATATTTATGTAAATAACTATGTGTATTCTCAGCATCCTTTACTTACTATGTGTCTTTTGTCAGATTCACTAAGCAACACAAGGTGGCCAAGTTATCCTACCTCAGTCTCCTCTGTTCTGTGGCTGCACATGTATGTGGCACCATACCCAGAATAAATTCCCACTTTCCCAGGAAAGATCATTAGGATTTTATGTAGGTATACTATTTTCACCTTTTAGTACAGATTTTATTTCATTTTTGACACTTCTTGACAAGTGAGATAGGTCAGTAGATGCTGGCAGGAGGTGGGCTTTAAAAATTAAGGCCAGAGATAGTGAGGTATCTCGGTTATAGAGCACTTGCTTATATAAGGTGCTGAATTTGATCCACAGCAACACACACGCACGCACGCACGCACGCACGCACGCACGCACGCACGCACGCACGCACGCACGCACGCACGCACGCACGCACGCACGCACACACACACACACACACACACCTTTGGGAAAATGTCAGGGTCAGCTGTAGGGGGTTAATGACAAGTGTTTCCACCAAACCCCTGAGCATGAACTTATCAGGGTTTCTGAAGGATATTGATAGACTGTAGTATAGAAGCATCAAAACTCAAAACAGAGCTGGGCGTTGGTGGTGCACGCCTTTAATCCCAGCACTCGGGAGGCATAGGCAGGCCAGCCTGGTCTTGAGAGCAAGTGTCAGGATAGGCTCCAAAGCTACACAGAAAAACCCTGTCTCAAAAAACAAAACAAAACAAAAAAAAAAACAACTACAAAAAATCAAAACAGGCCAAGGATACTTTCATCCCTGTAAAAAACAGAATGGCAAGTTTGAAGCAAAAAATATGAGTCATAATGTTGTTAGTTCTACAACTAAGAGAATTTGATTTAGAAATTGTTTGGGGTAATGGTTGAGAAAGAACATAACACTTTTACCTGAGCATTCTGGGTCTGTGACTCAGGCAGATTGCATTCTGGGAAGATAAGGGGACTCAAAGTATTAGAAAGGTAAGATCAACCTTCATCTTTTTTTCTTTTTCCAAGAGTAGGGCAGGGTCTTACCAGGTATCCCTAGGTCTGTTTCACTGCCCTCAGCTCCCAGATCACTTTCACATTCTTGATCCTAGATGGTTCTTTGACAAATCATATTGCTTTGGTTTGATACTGGAATGTAGTAATTGATATAGTTATAAAATTGAAATGTTGAGTCATGAAAGACAAGGATAAGGTCATGAAACATGGCAGTAAC